TCTAGCAACGTGTTCCGCTACAACGGTGGTATTAGTAGCCGTTGACAGAAACCTGTGGCGTCACGCTCAGCTCACTCTCGTCTCCGCTCGGGCGCCGAGCAGGACCTAGCATGGGAGATAGCACGAGTATGGCACAGAGCGTGCGAAGCTGTGAGCCAATGGCTCCGTGCTTTGACAGTTGTGCACCTCTACCAACAGCTGCATCTGGGCTAAATGCTTTGCAACGTTGAAAGCGTGGCTGGGCCACCACTCCAAGGTGAAGCATCCTTCCACATTGATGGACTGCCACTCAGTGAGGAAGTGCAGCTGGCCTGGGAAACTTCTTTGCACAAACTCTTTCTTAACCTTCCTCTGTGATCATGAAATTCAATCAAGATCATGATCGCTGTGCCGTGGCTCTGACTTGACAAACCGAGGCGCGGATTCGAGTGGCAGGCGCGGCAACACCACCTCGATGAGTTCACGGGCCATTTCGGTGTCCTGTACGGTAAGAATATTTTCTGCAGCACAAAATTATGAAGCCTGAGAAGCAATCGAATCCTAATTGTGAACACACATACATCTGCGAGGCAGCCTCAGCTGGGGGCTCTAATGCAGATTGTTCAAGTTTCTGGCACTTCTCCATTCTCACACCGGCCACTTCGCGTACGCGTACCAGTTCGCTCGCCCGGTCCTTTCCGGTCCCATCTGGCTCGTCCAGGCTCTTTGTATCACCTTGTCGCTTCAACAGACACTTAAGCATCGTCGCGCTCGATTCCATCTTTGGTGGCTTTGATGTGAGCTTCACACCATCGACAACGCGGTCTTGCATAAAGCCAGGTTGCGGCCAAGGCGGCTCGGTGCTGACGCCACAGCATGCCTGACCTGACTTCACCGGTGCAAGCCTGGCCCTCTCTGGTCCTCTCAAGGCTTTGCACGCCAAGCTGCCAAAGCAGCCCTCTGCCGCGCAGTGGAGCGGTGGCCTCATCGGAACACTGAGCAAGGTATGCTAGGCACTTGGTAAGAAATGTTCGTTCTTGCAGGTGGCTTCATCATCTCAAGCTAATGTTAGCGTACGATAATAATTGATAAGAAACCATTGCTCTTTCAGATGCCACAGGACTCAAACCACAGGCCACAGGCACAGGACCACGGGGAAAGATACCTTTATAAGCCGTCTACACAACTGTATAATGCTTCTGGAAATCCTCTGTAAACCCTCCAGAAAACCTCGTCAACCCTCCATATTTTTTGCAGACCTCACATAAACCTGTGAACCTTTTGTAAAACTTCTATAAAGCTCTTATGAACCCTCGAAAAATTAAAGGACCGGAGAACCCCACATGTGTAGTTTAATCTGAATCTGAATGAAATGATTAGGATGTCGTCGCCCGCCGAAATAAAGAAGAAAAAGAAAACGAGACGAAAACCGGGGAAATGATACGCTGAAAATCTTAACGGGGCACCTCTTGAGATTTGAGATTTGGGGATTTGATTCGCTGAAAAATCTTTTGGGGACGCCACTTGCGATTTGCGACGGGGACTTGAATCTCTGAAAAATCTTAGAGGACACCCCTTGCTGAGGTTTGGGGGCCTAAATCTCTGAACAATCTTATGGGGACACCCCTTGCGATTTGAAATTTGGAGAGATGATTCTCTGAAAAATCTTAGGGAGACACCCCTTGCGATTCGAGATTTGGGGACTTGATTCTGTATAAACTCTTAGGGGGACACCTCTTGCGATTTGAGATATACACATACCCATACACATACACATACACGTACACATGCACATACATATACATATACATATACACATATACACATACACATGCACACATACATATACATATACATACACATACACAAACACAAACACAAACATACATACATACATACATACATACATACACAGACAGACAGACAGACAGACAGCCAGACAG